ACATAGCCATGAGACTTACTTGATAGAGACTATGTGTCTTTAAGGCTCGCATGGTGTATTTGGAGTATGAAAATGGGAGAAAGACAGTCGGTGATTCGGAATCCGGATATGCGTAAAACGAGCAACCACCCTCTGTAACACGACCATGCATCTGACCAGAGTCTGTACAGCGTATCTGAACAGTGATATGTTCATCATGGCATATGCAAGTCACTATGTGCATGAGATAATAACGATGTTATCGTATGGGACTGTAGCCGAGCCTTGCGACAAAAATAAACCTGGCTGTGGTTTGCATTCATACATTTACATGTATATCCTGCCATACAGAAGTCGACACACGATAGAGTACAAGAACACACAGCAACCCAACTCTTTACCATAAGATGCGGTAGCAATCACGTCGTGTGAGATGGGGCAGAATCTGACGAGGTGAGCTTTCTTGTTGTGGCCCTTGAGGAGGACGACTCGCGCATGACCCCCCGCCGACGCAATGGAGTCCACTGAATAATCCTCCGCAGCCGCACCTGTGCCTAGTATATTGTGTGCAGGGATGTGTGCAAAAGCGTTAGGATCGTGCACCATCCATACAACCGTAGGTATATGTAGGTAAGTGATGTGTGAAAATGCGTTAGGATCATGTACCATCCATACAAGTGACTAAGAACTGCCCATTAATTATGTCATCCGAGTATTTGACTAATTAACAACTGCCCATTAATTATGCCATCCGAGTATTTGACTAAATAACAACTGCCCATCAACTATGTCATCCGAGTATTTGACTGATTAATAACTACCCATTATTAACTGTCCAACAATCTCGCAAACTGTGGTGACAAATGACCCGCCACCCGCAACCCCTGCCAAACATACGAGGGTTCCGACTCAGCTCGAGTCTTTGAGCCCTTGGCCATTGAGTGAGAGGGGTATGCTACAAGGTATATACAAGGTATATACTTCCACACACATTCATTCACCTGCACCTCCCCTCACCTTCCGGCAGTGTCCACACGCGTGTGACCCCGTCTTCACATGCGGCTGCCAACTTGCAGGGGTTGGTAGGCGAGAACGTGAAGTCAAGCATTGCCGCACCATTCACCACCGACATGGGCTTATCCGTCAGTCTCTGCCCCTTGTCCGGAACCTTAGTGACCGGTTTGGGTGTGGGTAGCTCGGAGTGCTCTCTCGCCACGACTGAGATGACGGGAGAAGACAACCTTGTCAACATGTGGGAGTTTCCTTGCGCTTGCAAATAGCAGCGGTTCAGGCCTGGAAACGCCTTACCGGTGTAACAAAAAGCGAGTGACACCTACCAAGGCACCAAAGGTTCAATTGGATTGTATATGCTTCTCCATCAACTACAGATTAGTTTAAAGTACATGTGGTGGAGAGTGATTCTATGCGAGTCTTACTGTAGACAGTTCACAATCTGTCACTATGCGACAGTGCGTTGGAAACTGTGTATGTGCATTCGCAGCAACCAACCGCATCATATGAGAGATAGACATACTCGCAAGGCTACCCCCACAGACCGTTGTACTAGATGACACGCATGCGACACTCGCAGCACACAGATGCAGATGTACCAAAACAATCGACAGTCTCTTGGGTGTGTACTTAGAATGCATGCACAAAAGGCTTAACCCGCAAATGGTCTTTTTCATCCACAAGAAATCAGGTGCATTTACAATGATATACCTACTGATCCGTTTGTGGGATATACCACGTCACACCGTCTGTAGTGCATTGGTAGAGTCCACTGATACATCTGCGTTAATAGCGGTGACGTATCTGCAAACACGCAGACAGCCGGGCTAGAGATGGCTCAAACACGTCCACCAATCAACAAACAAACAAACAAACAAACAAACAAACAAACAAACAAACAAACAAACAAACAAACAAACAAACAAACAAACAAACAAAACAAACAAACAAACAAACAAACAAACAAACAAACAAACAAACAAACAAACAAACAAACAAACAAACAAACAAACAAACAAACAAACAAACAAACAAACAAACAAACAAACAAACAAACAAACAAACAAACAAACAAACAAACAAACAAACAAACAAACAAACAAACAAACAAACAAACAAACAAACAAACAAACAAACAAACAAACAAACAAACAAACAAACAAACAAACAAACAAACAAACAAACAAACAAACAAACAAACAAACAAACAAACAAACAAACAAACAAACAAACAAACAAACAAACAAACAAACAAACAAACAAACAAACAAACAAACAAACAAACAAACAAACAAACAAACAAACAAACAAACAAACAAACAAACAAACAAACAAACAAACAAACAAACAAACAAACAAACAAACAAACAAACAAACAAACAAACAAACAAACAAACAAACAAACAAACAAACAAAACAAAACAAAACAAACAAACAAA